AAGGTGTAGAGCTGGATGAACACAGCAGGCCAGGCAGCATCAGGGGAACAGGAAAGCTGACGTTTCGGGTCTGGATCCTTCTTCAGAAAGGGTCAGAAAATTTTTTTCCTGCTCCCCTGATGCTGCTTGGCCTGCTGTGTTCATCCAGCTCTACACCTTGTTATCTGAGATGGTACTGAGCTGGGAGACACGATTCTGAGGGATTAGATAGACCGCAATGTTTTCCCTTAGTGGCTGGATCAATAAGAGGGAGGGGCCGTTTGTTAAAGGGCAGTAAAGTTAGAGAGGATTTAAGGAAGACAGTTTTACACTCAGGTGATGGTGGGTATCTGAAATCGCTGCCTAAAAGGCTGGGAGGGGCAGAAATCTTCATAACATTGAAGAAATATTTAGATGATCTCTTGAGGCGCCATAGCATACAAAGTTATGGATCTAGGGTTGGAAAAGGGAAGCAAAATAGATAGGTCCCTAATGATTGGCATGGACACGATGGGCCGAATGACTTCGTAACGATGCCGCTTGCTGGGCGTAAAAGCCTCTATTCAATATTCCGGGAATCCAGTCACAGCACAGGGGCTGGGCTGAGTAAACAGCTACAAAGGAAGGGGTTCACTCTCTCACTCTGTGCCACAGTCTAACTGCTGCCACACCTTCAGCTTCTTACTGAAAAGTCACAATACACACGAATTGGAGCCGGGATTAGGGCCTGCAGCCGCCCCGGGGGAGAGGCAGGCTATGGATTGAGACTGAGGGATAGCAAGACTGTGACCCGAGCTTACCTTCCGCAAGCCGCTGAACGGCATGTCCACAGGCAGCGAGAAGATGTTCTCCATCAGCTGCTCGAAGGTAGCGGCCAGGCGGTCGAGTTGCTGGTCGGCCGCCCGCAGACCCAGCAGGATCCGGACGGCGATACAGAACGTCAGCGACTTGGCGGCCGGGTAGACAGCGACCGGAGACGGGCCCCTGCACCAAGCCCGGACCCGGGAGCGGACCAGCCGCTGGATCCCGGGGAGAAAGCTGTCCAGAGCGGCGTGGCTGAATACCCGGGCCAGTATCTGTAAAGGCAAGGAAAGAGTGAGCGAGAGGGAGTGTGCTCTAGCATGTGAGAGAGAGAGAACTCTAACACAAAGAGTGAGAGAAAGAGTGCTCTAACACGAAGTGTGTGAGAGAGAGCTCTAACACAAAGACAGTGTGTGTGAGAGAGTGTGCTCTAACACAGAAACAGTGAGAGTGCTCTAACACAAAGTGTGTGAGAGAGAGCTCTAACACAAAGACTGTGTGTGTGCTCTAACACAGAAAGTGAGAGTGTGCTGTAACACAGAAAGTGTGTGTGAGAGAGAACTCTAACACAGATACAGTGTGTGAGAGAGTGTGCTCTAACACAGAAACAGTGAGAGAGAGTGTGCTCTAACACAGGGTGTGAGAGAGAGCTCTAACACAGAAACAGTGAGAGAGAGTGTGCTCTAACACAGAGGGAGAGAGAGCTCTAACACAGAAACAGGGAGAGAGCTCTAACACAGAGACAGTGTGAGAGAGAGCTCTAACACAGTGAGCGAGAGAGAGTGTGCTCGAACGCAGAAACAGAGAGCTCTAACACAGAGACAGTGTGAGAGGGAGAGCTCTAACACAGAGTGAGCGAGAGAGAGCTCTAACACAAACTGAGCGAAAGAGAGTGTGCTCTAACACAGAAACAGTGTGTGTGAGAGAGAGCTCTAACACAAAGACAGAGTGAGAGAGTGTGCTCTAACAGATAGAGAGAGCAATATGTGTGGAGAGAAAAACAGGGGTAAACGTTTCGAGCCTGGGTTGACTTCTTCAAGGGTTCTGAAGTTCGGAACGAGAGTCACAGCGGACTGGAAACATTACTTCTGTTTCTGTCTCCACAGATGTACTCAGACCTGCTGCATTTCTCCAGCACTTTCCGGATTAATTCCAGATTGCCAGCATTCACAGTATTTTGCCGTTTTCTGTTTAGAGAACGAGCTCCTGAATGAACATGGACACCCTCCGTGGCCGCCTATGCTCTGATTAACACCGGAAAGATCTCCCGTGTGCAGGGAGCGCCCGATCACAGACGGAAGAGTGCGGGCACCTTTATTAGGAGAGGCGGCAACTTGGATGCCTAACCCCTCCACCCCCCACCCCTCCGGGCACAGTGTCCGGGAGAGAGCCGCCGGCCCTGGCACGGGCACTCACTCACCTTCCTCCGCTGGCGATGCAGCTCCCCGCTCGAGTTGCCCAGCGTGTTAAGTCCCAGCAGAAGCCTGGTGCTGTGAGGCCACTGAGCGCTCACCAGGCGGTGTTCCCCCAGCAGGATCCTGCGGATGTTCTCGGCGCCGCTCACTCGGATCACCGGGCGGCCCAGCAAGTGCGTCTTGAAGACATTCCCGTATTTCTCTCTCCTGGAAGTGTGGAATTTGGAGCCCTGCCGAGACAAGCAGTCACTGCGCTGAGGCCAGTCGTTGTGTGAGTGTGTCTGTGTGTGTGTGCAGTGGGAGAGGTTGGGAAAAGGGAAGGACTGGGACAGCTCCAAGCTGCTCGCTATAAATAATATCCGAAATGAATGGTATCCGCTCACTCAGCAGCGGTTCAGCCACTCTCATAGAATCCCTACAGTGCTGAAAGAGGCCTTTCGGCCCATCGCGTCTGCACCGACCCTCTGAAGAGGATCCCCACCCCCTAATTTCCCAGGATTACCTGCCTGTCTTGCATATCCCTGAACACTACAGAGCACTGTAGCATAGCCAATGCACCTAATCTGCACATCTCTCAGTGGGGTGCAGTTCTAAAGCACAATCCATCCTCAGCAGTGATGGGTGACTCCTCTCCCCCCTACCCAACACCCCAGAGCCTGGGTTCAGGAGGCCCACATTGCTCAGTCACTGGTTAACCCAAACATCGCAGAAACAGCGGAATGATCGTCACAGGAATATCAGGTGGGTTAGCTACACTTTGAGCGCAACGGGTTCGTCCTTGCCCGGCCAGAGCTGTACTGCTGGAGCCTGACCACTTTCCACAATTTTTGGAACAAATGCTGATTGTGGGATCTTCCCGTGCAGACAGATGACAAGTTCTGTTCTAGAACCTGGTCGTTCGTTCCTGTTTTGTTTCTGTTGTTGGGATGGGTGGTTATAATGGCTGTTCTTCAATCAGCTGCTTACTACTGTTCTGATGGAACTAGGGGCTGTAAATCTGGGAGAGCACGCTGGAAGTTTAGAAGATTTATTGGGGTCATGTCGCTTTCTCGAGCTGCATTCAGTCACCTTACAAACTGTGCGTTGGTGGCGAGCTCTCTTTTTAAAGTGAAGGAAGCCCGAACGGATAGAAAAGGGAAGCCTTGTGCGGAGAGCGGAGCTTCTGACACTAAGAGATCCGCAGGGCACCTGCTCTTGGCAGAGAGTCTCACACTGTGAGCGAAGACAGCAATGTGAGTGCCAGGAATTGGAGCTTAGTTGAGGGGCTCCTGCTACAGCAGTTTGCGTGTTAGAAAGAGAAACGCCAATGGGGTGAACCCATCTCACTGGCTCTGAACTCAGGAACTCTTGCCAGCGGGCTCGATGGCCACGACACTAGAGCTGCTCTTGCTCTACCTACCTGCACCATCCAGTGCAACGTCTCTCCGAGTAACGGCCAGCCCATTGAGCCCTTCGGGAGGGGCAGCTTGTTGCCCCGGTCTCTGCTCACATTCCAGCCGAGGGTCCAGAGCTGGCGGGAGACGGCGAGCAGGAGAAGCAGCGACAGCAGCGAGGTGAGAGCGGTGCCCAGGGCAGCCAGGAAGTGCAGGCCGAGCGGCAGCATGACCAGCCCGGAGCTCGGAGTTAACAAGGTGCCCCAAATCCCAGGGAATCTCCACTCGGCTCCTACACACAAAACATTCACAGCTTTACGAGGAACAGAAATACTGTAACCCCTCCCCTGTCGTTAGTGAAACTATTGGGGGGAGGGGATAAAGTGATGATCTTGTCTACGGGCAACAAAAACCTGACTGAAAACAAAACTTCTACGTTAGATTTACAGTTTCTTCTTTATCCGTTTAATTTTAGACTTGTTATAGTTCCTTTTTTTTCTTTTAAATGACCTCTCGTTGCGACGATGGAGAGTTTGCTGAAAGGAAAATTAGTATCCATCAGGAATTCTACTTCATAAACTGGGAAAAAGAAACAGCGCTCCGTCTTTATTTATTCACTGATGTTCCTAACTGCATTCGGGGTTACTGGTCTCCCCGAGTGGAACAGGTCATTCTCAGCCGGCGGGTAATATACATACCCCTCGTTTTCTACCGACACTGACCGAGGTAAATCCCTATGAGGCACCAAGTGTAAGGAGTCAGATCTACGCCCGGGTTCGCTCAGTAACGGGGTTTAATTCATTAATGTTTAGCAAATCGACCATCAAAATCTGCCTGGTATAAATCAAAAAGTTTCCAGCTTATTGCAGAGAATCATCTCGGCTCTGTCGTTCAGAGAGTAAGAAGCGGTATTGAAGGTAATGGTAAACACAAACAGACATTGCTGGAGAAACTCAGCAGATGTGGAGAGAGGAAAATCGAGTTTACATTTCGAGACCTTCTGTCTCTGACCCGGCTAAGTTTCTCCAACGATTTCTGTTTCAGATTTCCAGCCCCGCAGTTTTTGCTTTAATGAAGGGAGTGTTAACAGTGAACCCGGCGGCTAATAAACATGGGGCATCCCCTCACCCTATCCCCCGAAAAGAAAAACACAGCCACGTGAATATTTGCAGACTGAAGGCACGATGGTGTGAGTGGCCCGCTCAAAAACCCAAAGAGGACAGAAACAGCCCAGAGCCAGAGCCTGATAAAGGAGGCTGCCCATCACACCTTATTAAACCGCCCTTCTCAAAGTATTTCAAATACAGACTCACGGCTGATTTGACCAACCGTAAAGTTTTTGGCCTTGAATTCTGAAAGCACATGGAATAAGTGACTGCCTGCACTCAGATCTGGGAGCCACTGTCAGTTCGGGGTCACAGCGGCAAATCCGTCAAAGTTTACAGATCCACTCCTCACTCATGACCCGAGGGGGAAATGAAAAATAACAATAGATCCGAAATGACAGGAGAGGGAACACTGTCAGAACTTACTTTCTGCTCCGATTGGAAACACTGGGATTCAGCAGGCCCGTGGTATACAGTCTCCTTTCACAGTTCCCAGTGGAAAGCTGCTGCGGGTGTGTGACTTACTGGGGCTGGGGGGTTTTATTGTGTGTATGTGTTCAAGGTTTTTATAGAAATTCGCGAAACCAGATCATCCACCTCCTCGGATGACGTCTGGGCCAAATTTAAATATTTCGCGGAGTAACAATGATCAGATTGCGATCACCCGCGCGACATGGTGGGAATGGTCACAGTGAATAGGACGGAAGCAGCGAGGAAAGGTGGTGGTGGTGGTGGTGGGGGTGATGGTTGTGGGGGTGGGGGGATTGCAGTGGGG